CCTTCCAAATTAGGCAGATACAGACATCAGTACTTCAAAACAAATTCTGTCTCAATCTATGATTACACCCAACATTTAGATCATGTTTATCCTTGGCTCCAATAGGCATGTCTCAAACTGGAAGCATCTGTTTATAAAAAGATATTATTTGTAAGGAGATACTGTGTCAGCAGGAAGATAGCATTCAGACCATTTTCCCCAAACACACTTGAGATGGCATAAAGAATGATGGTCTGAATTTTACAAACAATACAGATGTCGAAAAATATAATTAAGAAAAAAAATCTAGGGGTAGGGTGGGGGGTGGGTAGGAAATGGGAAGGGATGGAAAGGGGAAACAAAGGAGGAGGCAACAATGCTTGATAAGATATGTACATTATCTTGCCCATGTAATTTTAACCCCTCTGTATGGCATTTTCACAATTTTAAAAAAATCTAGTGACATTATCTAAATCTTTGCAGCACTTAAAAATCAAATGTGATTAAAAAATTAATTCAAGGGCTGGGAACGTGGCTCAGTGGTAGAGTGCTTGCCTTGCATGCATGAGGCCCTGGGTTCGATTCCTCAGCACCACATAAGCAGAAAAAAAAAGCTGGAAGTGGCGCTGTGGCTCAAGTGATAGAGCGCTAGCCTTGAGCTGAAGAGCTGAGGGACAGCGCCCAGGCCCAGAATTCAGGCCCCACGACCGGACCCAAAAAAAAAAAAAAATTCAAAAGTGAGTTTAATTTGAACTTAGAAATGATTTTTATTTTAAAAGTAGAAAAGCAATTAAGGAAAAGATCCAAATGAAGAAAGTGGAAAAAGGGCTGTAACCTAAGCTATAATACTGGGTTAAGGGCTGAAGAAAGACAGGACTTGAGAACTTTCGCAAAGATATTTAAAAGCCAGGACTGGAGTGTCTGGCAAGGATGTCTATCACAAATGCAGTCCCCAGTGTGTCCCTGGAAGATTCTGAGGAAGTACACATAAGGGGTCTCCCAGTAAATGAGACATTTTAGAATCCTGAGTGCATCCCACAAAGTGAGCGTGATAGTCTGCTTTCTGTTACTGCAAGTACTGAGGCTAGATACTTTATGAAGAAGAGAGGTTTATTTAGATCATACTTCGGGTGGCTAAAATATCCAACCAGCATTGTGTCAGCTTTAGTGAGGGCCTCATGACAAATGGCATCATGGCAGAAGCATGTGAGAAAGACAGCCCATGGTGAAACAGAAAACCAGAGCTCAGGGAGATGTCAAATCCAAGACTCTCACTTGAAGTAATCAGGGTCTCTGAGAACCACGTCAATTCTTTTTGAGGGCAATGCCTTCCATAACTAACTACCTCACAGTAGGTAGAAATCCCTTAGAAATCCCACTACCTCTTCCCAATGCCGCACTGGGGACCAAGCTTCTAACACAAACCACATCCAAACCACAACAGTGAAACTTACATCTGTTCCAGTCCCTGGGCCCCCTGAGCACTTACGGGGTCCAGACAGGGCCTCCATTATTGGAAAGTCATGGTCAAATCCTTTCAGAAACTTTGAGTGCCTGCGTTCCAGCAAATCAATGTACTTTACTCTCCAACCCTTTTTCTCTTTCCTATACACCGCAGAATCCATTTGTGAATGAGGCAGACACTTTCTCACCAGGTTGAAGGCTGATGTGCAGCTCTCCCTCCCTTTCTTTTCAAGGCTGAGATCAGAACGGACCAATGGCACTGACAGTATTCCTAGCTCTGAGGAGTCAGGGTTACTGGGACGTGAAGTCCCAGAAACCTTGGATGGAATCTGGGACAGCTAATAATCTAAAATTATCCTGTCATGAATAAACGCTTCCCTTTTTCTTACTAAATGGGATAGTCAAAAACACATCCTAACACCATGAAAAAGATGATAAGCTTCTTGTCGATGGAGAACCTGCAGCTCTCCATGTTTCTCAAGTTGTTTTTTTTTTAATTACAAAAGTATCTGCTAATAAATCCTTTAAGAAAATTCTGTGCCAACTTCAAACTAAGCAGAAAATATTGTAAATACCCTATCTAGTCTTCCCAATGATTGATTCAACCAATCTTCTTGCTTTCTTTTCTTTTCCTCTTTCTTTTCTTCTCCCCTTCCTCCTTCTTTCTTCCCTTCCCTTGCTTTCAGTATTTCCTTGGTGGGGGGCAGAGTACATCATAGTTTTAGTCAATTAAGAACTACTTTTGTTGGGTGCTTGGTGGATCATGCCTGTAATCCTAGCTACTCAGGTGACTGAGATCTGAGAATTGTGTTTCAAAGCCAGTCTGTGAGACTCTTATCTTGAGTTTACCATTAGAAAACTGGAAGTGGTGGTGTAGCTCAAAGGGATAGAGCGCTAGCCTTGAGCAAAAGAGCTCGTGGACAGCCCCTAGGCTGCAAGTTCAAGCCCCCTGATGGGCAAAAAAAACTTTTAAAAAAGAACATTTTTAGAGTCTAGAGTCATTGATTTAAAAAAAAAAATCTGTTATGCCATGATTTCACAGGGAACATGTTCCCAGAGTGCAGGTATTTTCTACCAGGGTCTCACAATATGCTTCCCTGAGCAGAACAGGCTACTATTGCATCCAACCCAGATTCCTCTTAAGCTTCCTTCTTTTTCTGATTAATTTTCCTTCAGACATTTCAGAAAACTATCTCAGCTATCAGAGTGCTTATTAATAAGCTCAATCTATGCATTATTTCTCTTGTTAAGACTCTTGCCCCTTAACCTGCTTGTTCATACACTGCCAATGGCATGCTGGGTAACACTGTAGTCTTGAATATAACCATGGGAGTGACATTTGTGAGGTCCTTTTCAACAGTACCAATTCCTTTGATGTCTGCAAAGACACTTCTTTTGAACAACCTCATTTTCTAAAAGGTCTTATATATATATATATATATATATATATATATATATATATATATATATATATATATATATATTGGGGACCTCTCTCCTTTCTCTCTTTATTTTGGCAAATTGCTGTAAGATGCAAGTTCTGTGCAGTTGCCTTATTATTTTTTATTTTTTTTGGTCTTTTATAACTTTTTTTTTCTGGAGCTGAGGACCGAACTCAGGGTCTTGCACTTGCCAGGCAGGCGCTCTTCCACTGAGCTAAACCCCAAGACCCAGATGCAAGTTCTGATCAAAAGGCTGCTATGTTCTTAGCAACATCTGTCTCAGTGTAGCTAGCCCTTCTCAGCTCAGCCTTGCTTGTCTTCCTTCCCCCTTTGAGCATAAAGCCCTGGAGCCCAGCACCCAGGCTCTGTTTACCTTCGTTTCTTCTGCTTGGCCTAGGCTAGGGACTGGCACAAAGTCCATGCTTGGCCCTTGCTGACGCTCCTCACCTTTCTGCTCTGGATTTTTGTATGCAGGCCTGTCTTGGCCCTGTGGCTGATGTGACATACAATTAGAAACATTAGAGCCAGCGTAAAGGCTGACTCCTGAAGGTTCTGGGCTGTTTCCCCAGGACTGGCAAAGTGCCTGCCATGCAATCAGCTCCCAGTAAATATGGGGTAAATGAATGAGTGAATGAATGAACAAATACAGTTGCTGTTCAGGTTATCATTGCTGTTCAAGTGTGCTTGGCTAAGCTTATTTTATCCTCCCTGTAGTCTATCTGGTGAAGGACAGGAATGGGTCCATCTCCTTGTGCTCTCTATCCCCTTCCTCCATCCCCGATTTCCCATTGTCTTGCTTTGACACCTTGTGGCCTCATCTTGTACCAGAGTGTTGCCTAGAACTTTCCAACTACTGCGATATTCCATGGCTATACACTTAACTTTTTCATCTATCATTCTGTGCCCATTTCCTGTCTGTAGCTGTGCGCCTTCCTAGATATCGTCTCATCCCAAGTATCTCTCTATTCCTCTGGTGTTTGGTAAACATAGAAAAGTTGAATTAATGTTTGTCTTCTATTACTAGGTAACTCAAGAGAAACTCTGATCCTTTTTACAAAACTGAAACCTGGTGCCTTCTGCCATAATGCTTGTGTTGTTCTAATAACACCACAGAAGAAGACCACACATGGATTACTAGTCAGGCATGGGCATTGCTGTTATTCTTTAAAACATGAATATTTTCCTACAGTATTGAATTCATTTAGCAGTGCTTATATCTTGCTTAGTTTGGGGACAAAAGTCAATTCATACAATTTGCTCTGTTAATGGTGGATAATCAACTACCTATTCATATGGTTATAATTATATTATACATCAACATTACAATGAATATATAAGTATATTTATAAGGGGCTAGGAAAGGGATGGAGTTACATAAACAGATTGATATTCTCAGGGAGGAAGTAGAAGGCACATTTGTCTAGTTAGAAATATAAGTTTACCATTAACTCAATGTTTTATTGCTATTCATGCTATGCAGTTTAACAGGCAGTGCGTGGGTAGCAGAATCCTACAAGGAACTGTTTGTCTTTGAATTCCAGGAAGTCAGATACTGAAGGGAGGAAGGCATGTGCATATCTAGGGAGATTACAGGTACTAAATACTAGTAATTGAATGTTTGAAGGATTTGCTCACTCATGTAACTCTGCCAGGCCCCTGACCATAGATAGGCCGTGGTAGGTCTTCTTGCTGGCATAGGTACCAGCTCTCTTAGTATATGAGTCTCACTGTCAGCACACCTCGCTAGGAGAGCTGAGAGATGGGGCTGCTGCTTCTCCTGAGGCTCTGAGTTAAAATATTGCCTGTCTTCAGTCGAATTATTCGACTTTTTTTGGGGGGGGGTCCGGTCTTGGGGCATGAACTCTGGGCCTGGGCGCTGTCCCTCATCTCTTCAGCTCAAGGCTAGCACTCTTCTTCCACTTGAGCCACAGCGCCACTTCCGGCTTCTTTTTTTCTGCTTATGTGGTGCTGAGGAATCGAACCCAGGGCCTCATGCATGCAAGGCAAGCACTCTACCACTGAGCCACCTTCCCAGCCTCACCAGACATTTATTATAAGCTGTGTATTTCTGACAAGAGGCTGTGGTTAAAAACAAAGCTGCATATTTTATTTCAGGTGAATAAACGATGAACTGCCTCATGAAGCAGAAACAGGAACATTCTGGTCCATGCTGGACAAGAATGGCACCGCCTTCTAGTCTTTGCCTCCTTCTTTTCAGTGCACTGGGGGTCTTTGCACTTGACCACTTCATGAAAGGTCAGAAGAACAGCACACTTATTTTCACGAAGGAAAACACCATTCGGAACTGCAGCTGCCCTGCAGACATCCAGGACTGTGACTACAGTCTGGCCAATCTGATATGCAGCTGCAAAACCATCCTGCCTTCTGCAGCAGAGCAAACCAGCTACAGTGGCCATCTGACCATCTGGTTCACCGACACATCAGCACTGGGCCGCCTCTTGAACTTCACACTGGTTCAGGACCTGAAGCTTTCTCTGTGCAGCTCCCACACCCTCCCCACTGAGTACCTGGCAGTGTGTGGGTTGAGGAGGCTTCGCATCAACACTGAGGCCAAGCATCCCTTCGCAGAGCAGAGCCTGCTCATCCACAGTGGAGGAAATGGCCGCTCCAAAGAGACACCCGAGTTGTTACACAAAGGCTGGCAAACGTGCATGTTTATTTCATTCCTAGATATGGCTCTTTTCAACAGAGACTCATCTTTAAAATCATACAGTGTTGAAAACATTTCCAGCATTGCCAATGACTTCCCTGACTTTTTTTACTTTAAGACCTTCCCAATGCCAAGCAACAGAAGCTATGTTGTTACGGTCATTTACTAATGTTATACCTGTGTCTCACTGCCTGGAACTTTGATAAACGATGGATTCTTCAAATAAAAAAAATCTGGGAATAAGGCCATGAGATAGGTATATCTACCTCTAACTGTGTCTTTTCCCTCAGCCCACTTACAAATAACTACTTCTCTTTGCTCTATGCTCAACCTTAGGAACTATTTTGAAGAAAAAATTAATAGGAAGCAAGAACGAATGATTTATTCTTGAACTATATCTTAAAAGCCAGCTACAGGCTAGGTCTTTACAATTTGCAGCTCATGCAGAGATGTCAGATCAGGAGGGCTTTAGAAAGCAGCATTCACATCAGGGATTGCTTACTAGAATTCAGTAGAGACATGAAATCTAAGAAAGATATCTTCTTTCAAAATACAGTAGTTCTGGTTAGCTATGGGGAATCCATTCCAAGACCCCAAAGGATTCCTGAAATAGCAGATAATACTGAACCCTACTTATACTGTTTATTCTTGTACTTTCAGACTTGTAATGCAATTTAATTTATAAAGTGGGTATATTAAGAGAGCAACAGAAAATAACATACTAAAATAAATTTGTGGGAGTATGCTCACTTGGTCTTACTTAAAAATATCTATTATACTGTATTCGCCCTTCTTCGTCCTATAGTTATGTAAAGTGACAGCACCATAACAAAAGCATCTTATGATTTCTGTTTGGCATAAATTGCCAGCATTGCTACTTTGTGCTTATTATTAAGGCCCTTATAAAGTAGAGGTGTCTTGAATATAAGCAATGCCATTCTGCAACAATCAATCTGACAACTCAGACAGTGATTCATGAGTAAATAGTGTACATGGTATAGATATGATAGACAAACTGATGGCTCCTGTCCAGGTGGAATGCTGCATAAGACTGAATTCATCAGGGCTGGGAAGGTGGCTCAGTGGTAGAGTGCTTGCCTTACATGCATGAGGCCCTGGGTTCGAATCCTCAGCACCACATAAGCAGAAAAAGCCGGAAGTGGCTCTGTGGCTCAAGTGGTAGAGCACTAGCCTTGAGCTGAAGAGCTGAGGGACAGCGCTCAGAGTTCAGGCCCCTTGACTGAAAAAAAAAAAAAATTAAAAATCTATGAATTGTCTGTGAGACTAGCTCTCCAAAATAACCGGCATAAACCAGGCTGGAAGTGTGACACAAATGGTAGAGTCCCAGATAAACAAGCACAAGGCCCTGAGCTCAAAATCTAGTAAGGCCAAACATACAACAACAACAAAAGAAACATTTGCTCTATCTCAAACTTTTCTTGGAGCACTGCCAAGCTCCAGGGAAAGTTTTCTTCTAGTGATTCTCTTTCATCTCCTCCTTTTTCACTGCATCTTGTATCTTTGTTCCCTATCATCCAGTTCCTCTTTATCTCACCTCCTTGTCCTCTTCCCTGGGGTTCTCTTTTTCCTTTCTTCACAAATCAGAACTTAAGATTAATACCAACAGAATTTATTCACTTAAATTAGGGAATGACCTGGGAGTCTAAAAATCACTTGTAAAGTTAATGTACTCAAATTACTGATGTATAACAAAGGAACTTTTACTGCTCTTTCCATTTGGAAGTATAAGATTGGAAGGTTAACCAAATGACATCATGCGTGTTGATCAAAAGCAATTAAAGCAAACTTTCTGTTAAAAATTTGAGTTTATTCACCACTATACAAAGCAAATTTCCTCTCGTGGAGACTCAACTTCAGTTAAGAGGAATGTAAGGATTACATGGTGTGGTGCAGCACACTACCTCAGCAGTAAGGCTTGTCTAGCACTCATGACCTGGGTCCCATCCGACACCACAAGAATCTATGACAATTGTGGTACACATGTCTACACTCAGAGTGCAATAATGCTGAAACACTATGGCGTCTTGTGAAATAGCTTTATTGTGAAATATCAGGAGGTCACAGGAGATCGCAGTCTTCACTTTTTCATCTTCACCTTCACACAGGATAACTGAAAATAACCTGGAATTTCTACATTTGCTTAATTGGTGGGGGATTTGGCCATTCAGACTAATTAGCATGAGTCCATAATGTCAGCATTTAAATTAGGCCAAAATGAAAACCAAAGGATGAATTTTAATAGAAAAAAATGTAATGACCTCATTATTGACATTGTACTGCAGAGATATCATTAAAGAGTCAGGGGAAAAAAGACAAAGAAGGGGAAAAAAGGAGAAAGCCAGAGAGAGAAAAGTAAAAACAATATATATATATATGTATATAGTCATTAGTTATTGGAAATATAACAAAGTGAATTTGAGTGGATGCTAATTAATAATGTATACAACTATATTTACTTTACATTTGGTAACTTTTTATAGTTCCAAAGTTCTTTTACAGAGTAGAAAGGGTTATGAGACAGAAAACCACAGAGGACAGAGCATATAAGTTCATAGGAAATGGAATACAGTGTACAAGCTAATGAATCAACCTTTGATCGGAAGAAAACTTTCATGAGTGGAGACAAGAAGGAGGAAGGTATATGCAAGTAAGTTTGTAAGTTTAGTTCTCCTCTAGATTTCTATCTTCTCAGCGAATAATTATGTAGTTACAAGTTGGGCAGGGTAGTACACATCTGTAATCCCAGCACTTGGGAAACTGAGATGGGAAGATCTCAAGTTTTAGCCAACCTGGGATATATAGTGAATATCAAGCCTTGGCTACATAGTGAGACCCAGTCTCATAAAGAATTATCTGCTTACTCATTGGGTATAACATGCAAGTCTTTGAGAAGAGATACAGCAGTTATATAAGCATCACCTCTCCTGGTATGGAAAGTTAAATTTAGCAAGAAGACATACAGAACACTGGACAGATAGAGTTATATCTGAAGTAGCTTACTCTGTGTGTCTTGTCTTGTGTTTAGACGTTTTAAAGCATTTAGTGTTGTTTTATTGGGTTGATGGAGGAGGAATTGATGGGAAAGGAGCCTTGTGGTCACAGATAACACAAAGTGTGTTTATTCCTCTTAGATATCTCAGGGCTGGGGATGTGGCTTGGTAGTAGAAAGCTAATGCACAGGGTTCTATCATCACACTGGCTAGGGAAAAAGAAATTTCCTTCCTTCTCTTTACTGGTCTTTATTTATTTTTTGGGTCCGGTCGTGGGGCCTGAACTCTGGGCCTGGGCACTGTCCCTCAGCTCTTCAGCTCAAGGCTAGCACTCTACCACTTGAGCCACAGTGCCACTTCCGGCTTTTATTCTTTTTGCTTATGTGGTGCTGAGGAATCGAACCCAGGGCCTCATGCATGCAAGGCAAGCGCTCTACCACTGAGCCAACTTCCCAGCCCTCTTTACTGGTCTTTTAAAGAGTCTAGGCAATCCTTGGGTCAGTCCTGTACAATTTGTACTTTTCTATCATGTATATCTGTGTTCTGTACAATTTCAAATGTGTTATCTCTAATTGGTTCATATATTATCATCTAATGGATTAGGATTCTTTCTACAGCTAGTTGTACCTAAACTTGTGTGTGTACATGCACATGTACATGTGTGTGTGTGTGTGCGCGCGCGCGCGTGTGTGTATTTTATGCTACTGTATTAGGCTTAAGAGGGGTTTTCTCCAAGATTTTTTGTTTTTCTATATTTTACTAGTGGCTCAGGTTGGATGCTTTACTTTTGTATTACTTGATGTTTGGGGTATTTGTGAGACAAGATCTTGCTATATAGTTCAGGTCTTAAACTTTGCATTCTTCTGCCTCCGCCTCTTGGGATTACAGGCACATGTACCACCACATCTAGCTATATTTCTGCAAAGTCTTGTTTACGTTGTTGTTCTGTTTTTATTTTTTGTTTTTAGGAGTAGAATACAGGGCTTTGTGTTTGCTAGATAAGTGCTCTGCCACTTCAGCCATGCCCCCCAGCCTAATTTTTGTAAGTGCAAACTTAATTTAAAGGTCTACATTATTCTGAGCTTCCTGTTAGCTATAAACCATATAATTTATGTGAAATATCAACTATGATCAATTTCTAGAGTTTGCAGATAATGTATAATGAATGTTTTTTGTTTGTTTTTGCTTTTGTTGGTTATGGGGTTTGAACTCTGGGCTGGGCACTGTCCCTGAGTTCTTCAGTTCAAGGCTAGCATTCTGCCACTTGAGCCAAAGTGCCACTTCCTGTTTTCTGAATGGTTTATTGGAGATAGGAGTCTCGCGGTCTTTTCCTACCTGGGCTGGCTTTGAACCATGATCCTCAGATCTTAGCCTCCTAAGTAGCTAGGATTATAGGCGTGAGCCACTGGTGCCTGACAATGAATGCATTTTTTTTATTTTTAGGTTTAGATAACTATCCATTAATTCTCAAGTAGTTAAAGATTTCTTTTTTAAATTAGGAAAGGTTGCTCAATTTCTTGGATTGGTTTATCATTTAGCTTTTCTTCTGGTTGGAGAATTTGACTGTAAAATCTTTATTATGGAGAATTTTTTTCAGTTAAAACAATTGTTTCCAGACTAATGATTGATAGTTATAAATGTTCCACAGAAGAAATAGATTATTTAGTCTCTGGAGAGGATAAAATTCTCTATCTACCAATCTACATTTCAGTTCACTGATTATACTGTTAAAATCTTACATAATCTTACATAACTTTTGGCCAATTCATCTGTGTGAATCAGAACAAGGCATATTACAATATTCCACCAAGAAGAAATACATGCTGAAAATACTTCATGTCTATTTAAATTAATATTTATGAATTTAACACAAGACAGGAAAACTTTATTAATCAGGAATAGACGATGAGAAGGCCATAGTCCCTCTCAGCAATGGCTGAGTTGTGCTAGGTGAGTCCAATAAAGAATAAGAAAAAAGAGAATTGAAGATGTTGCAGGAGTGTGACTGTGATCTTGTCCCATGAAGTCCAACACACTGCAGATTGACAGGGCTGGAGGAAGCTTCCCAGGCAGGAGTGGTACAGTCACTGGGAAGACTCCCATAACTGAAGATCCTCAGTAACATGGGGAAGGAAAGAGGCAAAATTACAGCAAGTGGCTGAAGTGAATTAGTAGATAGGGTTATTAAAGGTGATGTAGGGCCATAAAATTATAAGGAAGCTGGGACTATAACCTAGCTACCAAGATCTCCTAGGACCAGTATACACAGATGTACACACAAACATGCAAAATAATATCCACTGGAATACCGAAGTCACTAAGAGTAAATGAGGGAGAGAATAATTCTCAAACAATTCTGGAAGGAGATGCATCAAAAATTAGTATTAATAAGATTATAGGCAATTTTTATTTTCTTCTTTGTATCATTCTGTATTTTCTAAATTTCTAAGATGTGTGAACAGTACTTTCATATTATTATTATTATTATTTTTCCGGTCGTGGGGCCTGAACTCTGGGCCTGGGCGCTGTCCCTCAGCTCTTCAGCTCAAGGCTAGCGCTCTACCTCTTGAGCCACAGGGCCACTTCCGGCTTTTTTCTTTTTGCTTATGTGGTGCTGAGGAATCGAACCCAGGGCCTCATGCATGCAAGGCAAGTGCTCTACCACTGAGCCACCTTCCCAGCCCCTGAACAGTACTTTCATAAGTAGGAAGAGGTTAGTTTTTAATATTTGAGATTATTAGAAACTTATTTTTTAATAAACTCAAATTCATTTCATTTTCTCTACAGTTATTCTATAATCTTACTATAAATTTACTTTAACTTGGCTGCCTTCTAGTAAAACTAAGCAATATAGAAGAAATATTTGTTACTTTTTTATATTGAGAAAGGATGTTAATAACTCTGTTATTTTTGATAACACCCACTTTTGTTTTCCTCCAGGAGAAGCAGACATGTATAAACGACACTGATAAGTAGAAAGGATACATGGCAGACCTATGGCTTAAGTGTAGAACACCTACCTAGCAAGTGGAAGGCCTGCAATTCCAACCCCAGGGAAGGAAGGAAGGAAGGAAGGAAGGAAGGAAGGAAGGAAGGAAGGAAGGAAGGAAGGAAGGAAGGGAGGGAGGGAGGGAGGGAGCGAAGGAGGGAGGGAGGGGGAAGAGAGGAGGAAGGGAGGGGAGAAGAGAAGAAAGGGCAGGGACAAGAGAGAGGGAAGGATATATGCCTATACATTTCTTAGATATATTTAAAGTGTTCATGGGATTGTAACCTAAATATTTTATGAGTACTATAGTATCCTTGATTACTTTGTTTTACACAACACTAGAAAGTATAAGATACTGCTAGGTGCTGGTGGCTCATGCCTGTAATCCTAGCTACTCAGGAGGCTAAGTTCTGAAGATCACAGTTCAAAGCCAGCCCAAGCAGGAAAGTCCATGAGACTAACCACCAAAAAAGTTGGAAGTGGATCTGTGGCTCAAGTGGTAGAGTGCTAGGACGAAGCAAAAGAAGTTCAGGGACAGGGCCTTGGCCCTGAGTTCAAGCTCTAGGACTGGCACAGAAGGAAAGAAAGAAAGGAAGAAAGAGAGAGAGAGAGAGAGAGAGAGAGAGAGAGAGAGAGAGAGAGAAAGAAAGAAAGGAAGGGAAAGAGAAAAAAGAGAGAAAAGAAAGAAAGAACGAGAGAAAGAAAGAAAATATAAGATACTGAATTGTATACAAGTTCAACTGTTAATTGAAACTTAAAACATGACATATTTTAAGAAAAATTTATAAGGGAGTCACTCTGGAGTACTTGTTAATCATCTAGCAGGAAATGTTCTGTTTCAATCCTAGAAAGCCTTACACATTTTCTAGTGATTATGATACTTAAATGGCCATTGGCATGTATGGCCAAAACTTTCTTCTAAATAGTAATTTTTTAAAAAAAGAACAAAGCCAGGTGTTGGTGGCTCACACCTGTAAGCCTAGCTACTCAGGAGGCTGAGATCTGAGGATCACAGTACAAAGCCAGCCAGGGCAGGAAAGTCCATGAGACTCTTATCTCCAATAAACCACAAGAAAACCAGAAGTGGCACTATGGTTTAAATGGTAGAGTGCTAGCCTTGAGCTGAAGAGCTGAAGAACAGTGCCCAGGCTGAGTTCAAACCCACGACCACCACCACCACCAACAACAACAAAAAGGAAAAAAAGGGGGAAAAAAAGAGAACAAAACCTCTGGATATCTAAAATCTGGACTGAGTCAATGTAATGGTGTGATAGAAAGATGACCTCACTGAATTAGAACCAATGTTAAAGTTAAGTGGTTTGAAGTGGATGATTTTGTAAAAGGTTTTGGGAATTGAACATGGGGCCTCAGACATGCTATGCACATGCTCTGCCACTGACCTACACTACCAACCTAGAAATATCCTGACATTTTTAACTACTAGCAGTCACATGCTGTGGATGGAGGTTCATGTCTCTATTTGTAGTTACTTTGAGTTACCTACATAGTTGAGAAAGAGAAAAGTCTCTCATTTTTTACTTGAGTGAAAACTAGCAAACTTACCAATTGCATAATTGCCGAGATGAAATTAATAATAGCTGGATGTCAGTGATCTAGCTACTCTAAAGGCTGAGATCTGGAAGATCACCATTTGAGGGACGTGTGGCAGAAAAGTTCACTACATTTCATCTCCAAAATAACCAGCAAAAAGCTGAGATAGAGATGTGGTTCAAATAGTAGAGTAACAGCTTGGAAAATGCAAGGCTGAAACCTTAGTACTACAAAGTGAACAATAATATAAAAGTAACTTGTTAGAATTCTTTTTTCCTAAAAAGTTTTAGGCCCTAGGTTTTTTATTTTCAAGTTGACTAGCACAAATTAATTGTAAAAAGGAGTTTCAGTGTGGTATCTATATGCATATAATGTACTTTGTAATGTACCTCATCTATATTACTCGTATGTGTGTGTGTGTGTGTGTGTGTGTGTGTGTGTGTGTGTGCATGCACACCAGTCCTGGGGCTTGAACTCAGGGGCTGGGTGCCATCTCTGAGCCTTTTGGTTCAAAGCTAGTGCTTTACCAGTTGAACCAGTTTTACCTTTGGTGTTTTGGCTTTGAACCTCTGATCCTCAGATCTCAGCCTCCTGAGTAGCTATGTTTACAGGTAAGAGCCACTGGTGTCCAGATATATATTTCTTAATTATCCTTCCTTCCCTCTTTTTAGGTTATTTTCTTTATGCTACTTTCAAATAATATACTTCTATAATATCATCCTCATCATCTACTTTCCCCCATTTTCTACCTGCTGCCCCTCATTAACAGTTCCTTCTTCACAACTGTGCCAAATTATGTATTTCTAGGTCTAGACTCTGCATATGAGTATTCAACATTTGTCTTCCTGAGTTTGGTTTACCTTGCTTAGCACAATGTTGTCCACTTCCATCGATTTCCCTTAAATGACATACTGTCATTCTTCTTTGTGGTTGAACACTCCATTGTTATATGAATCATATTTTATGTAGCCATCAGTTGTTATATATAGTTTATATATATATATATATATATATATCATCAGTTGGTGGGCAGGCACCTAGGCTGGTTCCATATCTTGGCTACTGTAGTGCAGCCATAAACATGAATGTGCAGGTATCCCTTTTGTATGTTGATTTACACTTCTTTGGATATATGCCGAAAAGTTGTATCATGAAATTGTATGGTAGTTCTCTTTTTAGTTTCTTGAAAATCTCCACACTGATTTGTGGCTACATAATTTTTATTCCTACCAACAGGGTATAAAGTCCCTTCCCCCTGCCATCCTCACCAATATTTCTTGTCACTTTTCTTGATAATTTCTTGATGATTCTCTTTGGCTGAGATGGAATCTGTGTTCTTTGATTTTCATTTCCTTTATGGCCAAGGATAATGAATACACATTTATGTCCATCACAAATTTATTAATCATTTGTACTTCTTTTGAGAACTGTCTGTCCCATTCATTTGCCCATTTATTAATTGAATTACTTGTTCTTTGAGCTTTTTATACAGGTCCTAGGGTTGTGGTTTTCCCACCCCGCTCCCCAAGGTTCGAATTCCCAACTTCACATTCTCACTAGATTTTTTTGCTCAATGGTTGGCACTCTACCACTTAAGCTACACCTCTACTTTCAGCACTTTGTTGGGAGATCAGAGTCTCTTAGTGGGAGGTAAGGATGAGTTTTTCAAATTTCTCTGTCCATAGCGGCTTTGAACCATGATTCTTAAAGCTCAGTCTCTTGAGTGTGAGCTATTAGCACTAGTAGTCCCCTAGGGGTTTTAATGGAAATAAACTTGGGCCATTTTAAGCAAATGCATATGCATTCCAAAATAAAATAGCATTAGCAACAACAACAAAAACCAAAATGAAATTTGTTGTAAGTATTCATTGGGTATCTAAGATGAGTACAGTTCAGCCTCTTGGATAGTCAAGAGCAAGGACCTAGAAAGGTCAGAGAATCTAATCTGGTACTCTCTCCTCTTCTGCTCTCCCCCACACCAGCTTCCTTCTCTCTTGCTACAGTGACTAGTTTTCTTGGGTTCAGAGTTGTTATGACTTTTCTTGGTTTCTGAGTTAAGGCTTTTTTTAAAAAAATAGCTTTTGAGTATACTATAGTCCCAGCATTGTCTGTTTCAAGTGGGAAATCTGATTGATCAAAGGTGGTTGAGTCATACAAATGTAATCACCTTGTTTCAGTATAGACAATGTAACCAGCCTTTCAGCCTTCTGGTTTCCAGTGCTTTCTCTTTAGATGAGGTAGCTCTTACAGGCAGAGGGGAGGTGTTAGTTCTTTAAAGAATTAATCTGACCCAATAACTTATAACAAATACATTGAGGTCAATTGAGAATAAAGGGATCCAGTCTGTAAAAAATATTTACATCAAATAGGATAGAACATCTGTCATCAGAAAAACAATGTCCAATATCATTCAGCTAACAAATATTTAGTGAGTGCCTCCAGAAACATAAAAATCTCCTCTACTATTATTTGAAAAAGTAAATAGATTTTTCTTATCTTACCACTAAAGAGCAAGAAAATGAGAATATCCAAGTAAAGGACCATTTTTTTCTTCCCCAAAATGAGCCTTTGGCAACTTTATTTTGAATGCATTGTCCTTGCTGTCTTCATTTGGCAGTTAAGGGCAAATTTTCGGAAGTTCATAGACATGACATTTGGTAGTCTTGACTACAGGATCTAAGGCTGACTCAGCAAACAACATTGACCTGCTTAGTTTGTCTGAATTTATGAGTTAATAAATCCATGTGAAGCACTAGTAAGTAGGAGACAGCCTGGAAATTATTGCTTAGAAATATGACTCTAAGAAGAACTTTTTGACTCAAACCGGAGTTGATGTGACAGTTCTCTATAAACTGTCTTTATTTTCCCAGAATACTAGAAACACTCCAAGACTAAGTAGAAAACATATACAACATTATTAACCAAATTAATTTAATACTCAAAGCACAGGGGGTACTTTATCAAATGATTGCTTTCTGATTGTATAGCAGCTGATAAGCAATTAAAGCAGCTATTCAGTTTCAGAAATTTAATTCCTATAAAGTCTGTTATGTCCAGTAGAAGGAATTCTGCCTTTCTCAGGAGGCAAAGTAACTTTTAAACTTTAACTTCTCCCTTTAACTATCTGAAAAGATAGACTGTCAAAGCTGTAAATATATTGTCTTTGAATATTTTGGCGCATTAATAAAATGATAGATAGTCTTCCCTTATACATACTTGATTAACACTTTTACAATGGGGAAGGAGTGTCTTTTTTTTTTTAATAAGTTTCAGGCTGATGTTGTAAAATGTTCTGCTTCTGGGACTTATCTCAGCTACCTCTACCCTAATCATTTTACTGCAAATCTGTTTCTTGGCCAAGGTGTCTGAGGGCTGAGAAGGCGCAATTTGAGCCTTTTGTTATTGAAAATAGGAGTTCAATTTCCTCAGTGAAACATTTGGTTGTAATCTGAGCCTACACTAATGCTTAACGGTCAGAATATGAGAACTGAGAGTAATGTGAGTAGAATGGAAGGAAGTCTCCCATTAACTGGAGATTGAAAATGTTGGAGGATGCTCTTGGCTTCAAATCTGGGTGCTAGGTGGGAAGATTTCAAATTGAATCAAAGTAAACTACAACAAAGAATCACATTATATAAAGGAATGATGTGGGAGGCTTTGGGATGCTCCGCTCCAACACAAAATTTAAATTTCAGTGACACTTTGAAGGGCAAGTGTATACAAACATTTATGTTTTATAGTAGAGGCATAAATTATACCACTTCTATAAAGTCCAATTTAGAATTAGCAAGATAAAAAATACATGCATTGGGATTCAGCAATACCAATTTTAGTACAACCTGCAGTTATGATAACATTTCACAGTAGCATTGATGATGAGAGTGTAGGGGAAGGAAGAATTTCTATCCTCTGATGGTTTGACAATTGAGTCTATGAAATAAACTGACAACAGATTAAGAGGAGGGAAAAAATTTTAATTATGGTGTAAAATGCCCAGATATGCCACATCCAAAACAAACAAACAGGTGTGTGTGTGTGATGTACTCCAGTTGGTATACCACCAGTCTCTTCTCCTAAGATACCATTAATTTCTGTTTGATGAGACTCTGGGAAGGGGATTTATGACAACCGAGTTCTCTTTTGTGGGACTCTACTGTTTCTCTTTTGTGGGACTCTATCTTTAACACTATAAACTCCAGAGAAAGTTGCCTAGCAAGGTAAGGTGCTGTGGAAGAAAGACAAGGAAGCAGGAGGGTTAGAGACCTTAGTTCTCCTTTAGTTCAAAGGACTCAACAACACAAAACCTCACAGTTTGAGATATCTTTTTCCACCCCAGCATTCGCAGAGAGCAGAAATAATCTGAACATCAAATGTTATAAAACTGGTTAAGGGGCTGGGAAGGAGTGCTTGCCTTGCATGCATGAGGCTCTGGGTTTTATTCCTCAGCACCATGTAAGCAGAAAAAGCTGGAAGTGGTGTTGTGGCTCAAGTGGTAGAGCGCTAGCCTTGAGCGGAAGCTTAGCTAAGGGACAGCTCCCAGGTCCAGAGTTCAGGCCCCAAGATTGACCAAAAAAAAAAAAAAAGAACTGGTTAAGTGAGACAAGGCTTTAAAGGGTGGATACAGAACATTCTCCAATTCATGTTAGACTAAAGGTACAGTTTACATACCACTTGTATAAAAAAAAGGAATTAAATTAAAACAGGAATGTTTGCTTTTATGAGAAGCTGTTAAAACTGCCACACAGGAGGGGTCCTTTTCTCACTATTTTGAGTGTTTTTTGTATTTTGAATCATGAAAGGAATTCACAAACACAAGTAGACGCCAGAAGGATAAACTTGCTTGAAGTCTGACGATGCAAAGGAGAAAGCCTGTGAGCTCAGCCTCATAGGCCATCACCCTAAGGCCTTGACAAATAAGATTGTCCCTTTGTGACACAAGCCTGAAAACTGTCAAAACATGTCCAAACCCCGCCCCCCATTTCCCTTCACTAAGTTTCAGCGAACAGTAAGTCACAGAAATTGCTAGCAAATTTGTCATCGTTTCCAAAACACTAAAGCACTTTTCTCAGAACGCGGGGGGGGGGGGGGAAGCAAGGGGATGGGGGCGCGCAGAAAGGGGAGACATCACCCCAGATTAACAAGGCTTCTACCGTCTCTGACCGAGCCCGGGGGCCACAAAGCCGTAGGAATACAAAGTATCAATGGGGTTACTGAGAATCACCCCAGTGACACCTCACGTCGTAGTTTTAGGGAAACACACTTTCTCCCTCCATACCTGGCTTCCCTTTCTGGCTCCGCCTCTCCCCGCTCCGGCCCAGCCCAGTCCTTGGCGGGAGGTTGGCTCGTTGACCCCCGCGCGAAAGTGCGGAAGACGTAATGCAGCCAGATCTTCGGAAAGGACACGGTACACTCTGTCCTCCCATCTCTATGATCCTCTTTGTGACCAGCTTAGGAGCCCAAGCGTTCGGTGCCAATAGTCCTCCTGGCCGACAGAGAGCGATGCAAAAATTGACTTGACAGGTGCAGGGCGCGCTCTCTCCACCTATTGAGGGAGCTTGTGAGCACGGGCGCATGCGCTCTCGGTGGTGCGCGGCGGAAAGAAGGGGCGGGGGCGAGGAGCGGAGATTCGACCTGGCCTGAGCTCCCGAGAGCGCGCGTGCGCAGTCGCGTGCTCAGGGCTGCCGGGACTCCGTGCGGGATCTGGGGTGAGGCCGCTGTGCGGGGCCGCGGGGATGTTCCGAAAAGCCCGGCGAGTGAACGTGCGCAAGCGGAACGACTCGGAGGAAGAGGAGCGGGAGCGCGAGGAGGAGCAGGAGCCACCACCGTTGCTGCCACCGCCGGCTACCGGCGAAGACCCGGGCCCTGGAGGTGGCGACCGGGCCCCCGGGAGCGATTCGCTGCTGGGCCCGGGGCCGCCGCCGCCGCCGCCGCCGCCGTCGTCCTCCACGCTCACCCCTGGCCTCGGGGCTGAGGCCGGGGGAGGCTTCCCCGGAGGCTCGGAGCCTGGCAACGGGCTGAAGCCGCGCAAGAGGCCTCGCGAGAACAAAGAGGTGCCCAGGGCCAGCCTGCTGAGCTTCCAGGACGAGGAGGAAGGTAACCGCCGCGCCCGAAAGCCCCGCACCCGCACCCCAGGACCCCTCCCCGGCGAGGGCGCTCCCACCCCGGAACCGATGGGGCCCCTGCCCGCCCCGGCGCTGGCGGATCCTTCCCCGCCTCCGGCCTTCTGCTGTGACTGAGGTTGCGTTCCCGCGCTGCCCGCATGGGCAGCCTTAACAATCGCCTCCTCCTCCTCCTCTGCCTCTTCTTCCTCCGCTTCCTCCTCCCCCTCCCCCGCCCCCTCCTCCGCCCCCTCCTCCTCCTCCTCTTCCTCTTCTTCCTCCTACACCCCCCACCCCCCACCCCCGTCTTGTGCATTTTCTACGGGCTTGGGGCTGGAGCTATTCCATGATCATTCTGGGTTGAAGTGGAAATTCAGTGCTCCCTATCTTGCCTCCATCCTGCTGGGATGTTTTGGAGAGAAATTTATTTATTTATTTATTTAACTTATGTTTGGTGCCGGCCTCGAGGCTTGAACTCGGTCTGGACGCAGTCCCTGAGCTTTCGTATCACTTGAGCCACAAGTCCACTTCCAGCTTTCTGGAGGTTAACATTGGAGATGAAAGTCTCAGGAACGTTATTCCTCGGGCTGGCTTTGAGGGCTGGCCACCCTCAGATCGCAGCCTCCTTAGTAGGTAGGGTTAACAGGCATGGGCCACCGGTGCCCGGCGAAAGTTCTGTCTGCTGACATAATCACAGAGCCCTACTTGCAGGCCACGGTGCCTGAGCCTCGTTGGCATCCTTGACCAGGAAAGGCCGGATTTGAGAACAGGAGAGAACTTGGTCCGGCCAAGAAGTCTAGATTTGCAGCTCCGCTTCTAAGTGACCTTGGGACAGTTCCTTATGCTCCCCGAGGCTGTTTTCCCAAAGAAGCAAATAGGGGTAGCAAATGTCTGCTTTGGCCTTGGCATTTGGAACGGTGAAATAGGGTGAGGCAGTTTCTATAATCTACAGCATGCCAGACTAGTCAACTGCAGGAGATTGAAATTTCTGGTCTCAACCAAATGAGCTTTAAAATATGTTTACTTCCCGACCAATTGAATGTATGTAAACCAATCCCATGTTAAAAAAAAATTAGGAAGTTGTGCATCTCTGAATTAAGATGCTTCTCTATGTCTAGTAAGGTTAGGCAGTTTATATTTGGCTTTTACAAGTTAATTTTGTTTGAGAGGGGTAAAACCAGTTTTTGTCTTTGACACATGCACTATTTAGTGAAGGGCTATGCGCTTGACTTTCAAATTTTAAAATGGAAGAGGATGGATAAGTCACTAAAAGTTATTTTTGTGGTGATAGAATCTAGTCTTGAAATAACTGTCAGTTGGTGATAGATGTAGACTTACACAGACTTGTCAACACCAATGATTTTTCAGTATATCGTTTCAGATTCCTCAATAATTGGATTTTTGTATGTGTGTGTTGAACTTGGGGCCTTAGCATTCTTCCTTAGTTTTATCATTTCAAGGCAAGAGCTTTACCACTTGAGCCATAGTTCCGCTTCTGGCTTTTTGGTGGTAATTGAAGATAAGAGTCTCATGGACTTTCCTGCCCAGGCCAGCTTTGAGCTGCAGTGCTAAGATGTCAGCCTCCAAAATAGTTAGGATTGCAGGTGGAATCAGTGGTTCTGGGCTAAATAGAAACATTGTAAATTTGTTATTGTGTTTTTCCTCCTGAGATGGAAGGTTTAAGGCAAACAGTAAGTTTTTGTGAAATTACATAGGTTACAACTTAAAAATCTTGAAGTTTCACTATTGCATATTAACTTATGAAGTTGAAACTCAAACTTGAGTCTATGGTAAGGTTAAAGTAACTTCAAGTTATGGTGTGTAAGTGTTATGTCTTTATATAGTACATATGTACATATAGTACATATAGTACATATGTACATGTAGAATTTTAAGAAGGAACCATTCTGAGAATGGTTGCTACAGATTTCATTTAATTTTCTTTTTAAGAAAATGAAGAGGTTTTCAAAGTGAAGAAATCAAGTTACAGCAAAAAGATAGTAAAGTTGCTCAAGAAAGAATACAAAGAAGATCTTGAAAAATCAAAGATTAAGACAGAACTGAACTCATCAGCGGACAGTAAGTACTAATCTGATTCTTTAAATGATAAAATGACACCTTTCTCAGTGATTTGAGAAGTTACTGTGAATTGGTTCAAGTGTCTACTTTGAATAGCAGTATATACAGTTTAGTTAGTGCTCAGATACTTTTGTATGCCTCTTAAGACACAGAATGTTGCTGCTGGATTCCTGCTGGTTTATACACTGCTCCCATACAGAGATAGTTTCTCATTTTAACCTGAGGCAGGTATATTCCTGTTTGAAAAGATACATAGATTCATAAAGATGAGTTTTCAACCCCTTTGGTTTTATTTCTATTTGTGTTGGTCATTTTGGCACTCATCAGCCTTATGAGACAGATTCATTATACTGATATCCCTCTCTCCAAAAATTAAACCAACCAGCCTCCTTCCCCCTTTTCTCTCCTAGATTTCTCTTTCTTCCCCATTCCCCCTCCCCTTTTGCTAGAGGTAGACACTCTACCTCTGGCCTGTATACCCTTAGCCCCTGAGTTTAAGACTTTTAAGCAATTGTTTTGTCCTTAGGAAAGTAGACTCATTATAATACGCTAAGGTCTGAATTATTAGGCAAATGATTGAAAGAAATCTTTGTGTTTTATAGAGTTAAAAATAGAATTAATTTCTAGGTTCTTACAGGCTTAATATGAACCAGAATGCTCTATCTACAATTTACTTGTGGAGACAAAATCATGTGACTATGTAACATCAGTATTGAGTAAAATATCCAATGACTGGTCCAAAGGGTGACCATAGTTTTGTTTTCAGAAGAGGACTGTTCTGTAGATAAGCAGGGTATCAAGTTGGATTTTGATAGCTAGACTTCCAGAAAATAGAAGGAAAGTACGTACATGTCATCAAAGATTAGAATGACAGAAGTGTTTAGGGAAAGAGCAAGTACATTTGCCAGGACAGAATAGATGAATTTTGAACAAAGTAGTTTAAAGGTTCAGTATGCATGATACACTGTTGGCAGATTGTGAAGGATATTTAGTATGTAGTAAGGGGTTTAGAGTTGGTACTGCCAAAATGAAACTTCCACTTAGTGTTAACATGAAGCATGGATTGGAATGGGGAGAGATTGGAGGCCTAAAGCAATTTAAACTTTAGGGCCATTTTTAAGCCATTAATATTGGGCTATAAAGGTCTCACTTGAGCAAGACTGAGTCTTTTCTTACTCTGGGAAATTGTGAATGAGTTAAAAGTTATTACTGAGTGCAGGAGAAGAAAAAGATAGAAAAAGATCATTTGAGAAACATTCCAAAGGAAAATTGATAGAATTAATATATGCTTTTGCCGTATTTTGAAAGAAGCAGCCAAGTTTGAGTTTATTTTAATTACCTTTTTTTTTTTTTTTTTACAAATTCAGATGATCAGCCTCTGGACAAAGCAGGGCGCATTAAGGATGCAAGTCAAGAAGATGGAGTTCTCATCAGTGAGCATGGGGAAGATGAAATGGATATGGAGAGTGAGAAGGAGGAAGAAAAGCCCAAGGCTGGCGGGGCATTTTCAAATGCATTATCTTCTTTGAATGTTCTTCGTCCAGGTGTGTACCTGCAAGCATTTCTCGAATTAAATTAAGCCCTCAAAGATGGGTTACCTTTTTGGCAGTACTGGTTTTCTGTCGGTCGTGGGGCCTAAACTCTGGGCCTGGGTGCTGTCCCTCAGCTCTGCAGCTCAAGGCTAGCACTCTGCCACTTGAGCCACAGTGCCACTTCCCGCTTTTTCTGCTTATGAGGTGCTGAGGAATCGAACCCAAGGCCTCATGCATGCAAGGCAAGCACTCTACCACTGAGCCACCTTCCCAGCCCCAGTACTGGGGTTTGAACCCAGGGCCTCACATGGCAGTCACTATTGCTGAACTTGAGCTTCCATCCTGTTCTTAGTTTTTTGTTTCCATATTTTAAAATACTGTTATTATAAGGGTGATGTGCAGAGCGTTTACAGTTATATAAGTTAGGTAATGAGTATATATATTTCATTTTGGACAATGTCAGCCCTTCCCTTACTCTCTCCCAGCTTTTTTTTCCTGTCCCTACCCACAAGTTATGTAGTTCATTTTCAACATAGTGTCTAGTGGGTACCACTGCTGCATTTGTTCACCCTGTGTCTCTTCATTACTGTGTACATCCTTACCCTCCTAAAGACAGATAGTGCATTAGTTATT